CGAAAATACAGACAATAGACATATCAAAGCAGAACATATCAAAGAAACATGTATTAAAAAAAACACACACACACACACACACACACACACACACACACACACACACACACACACACACACACACACACCCCTCTGTGTGTGTGCGTTCGCGTGTGTGTTTTGGGGGTCTCATTTTTCAAACACGCTAGGGACTTCAGAGGTACTAAAAACGGCCATGTCTTCTTAAAACGAACTTTCAGACATCGCAGTAATTTTGATGTAATGGTAAGTACTGCATCTGAGCTTGCATTTCCGCATAGACAACTGTTATTGACACTACAGTTTCATCTATAGAAGAAAAGTTTCAATTGCTTAAAGAGCGAAGTGGGAAGAGAAAAAATAAAAAACTAATTTTCTATAACATAAAAACCCATTCAACAAATGAATTGGAATTGTTATAAAAGACTATAAATCAACAAATAAAAATAAATTTAAAATTCAGTTTTGATGAAAAATTCATTAGAAGACAGATGCAAAAATAAATTGTATTATCATTATTATTATTATTGCTGTTGTTATTTCCTGATCCTGGCCATACAGCTTAATATACATTAACACTTCAAGGACGAGTGTGACATATACGTCACAGCAAAAAAGTTAAGATATGACTTAATTCGTGTCACTGCAGGTCGATATTGCTCTATGGTTGTTTTTTTTTTTCTGCAGAAGAGGCAGTCTATTGTGTGATCTTGTCCAAAAAAGGTGTTATATTTTTTCCCGCAATTCAAAATTGTGATTTTTTTTTTGACGGACACTGATCACTGATAAGTTGAATTCACAGCCTATATTGTTATGAATTCAATTTATCTCGATATGCCTATCACAGATAGATCAAAAAGTAATGAAAATCATTTATTTAATTTTATTATTACCGCAGGAAGCTGGTTGAAAATTCAGACAGAAAGTGTATTGGACTGTAATTTATAAGGTCGTGAGAGTTGCTCTTTTGAATAGTGGCTTAATTTTACTTCTTTGGAGAGTGTCTGGGAAATGTTTATTATGTGTTACCAATTTCAGAGAAATGTTTATGGAATGTTTACCTATTTCCTGTGAGTTGTGCAAAACATTGTTTTTGTTGTGGAGTTTAATGATATAGTAAATGACTTATGCACAACTGAAATTGTTTATGTAATACATTAATGATGGGAAGAGCAGATATTACCTTTTTAGAGAAAATGGGTTCTGATGAACCTGCAAAACTATTTACTAGCTATTTTACAATTTGCACAAAATACATTTTTTCATTTGTTTTGATGTTTTTAATTTAAAATTGTCTTGATAAAATTTGGTTTTGAATAATTATGTTTGAATCTGCAATCAAAGCTTCTCTTATTCTATTCAAATAATTTGTTTTGCATTTTATTTAATCTTCAAAAGATACCATCACAAAATACAATCAGTAGACCATACTAATCATGGGCAGCTATTTGTCATTTTTAGACCTATACTTTGGGCTTTTAAGGCTATTTAACTACTTTGATCTAAATGTTTGAAAATAAATAATGATGAGAATATATTTCACTAATTCATAAAAGCCTTATTTCATTTATACACTACCTCTGCCAGATTGTTCTTTTTGGCCTTGTTATTAACATTTGGCAATAGTTTGGCTATTCAAATATGTTTTTACTATCTTTTTCCATAGTCATGTTATCAAGAAACATGCCACAGTATACAAGCAACAGTATTTTTATGACAGGCAAGTGGGGAAAAAAACTTTCTTAGTACAAGAGCAAGGATATCTTTAGGAGAAATATCATGGACAGGATATATAAAATAGATTTACGAATAAAATAAAGAAAGAAACAATAAATGCAACCATGAGAGTGACAAAATAGTGAGACAATATTTTATAGAAATTGTAAAACGTATAAAGTGATTTGGTGCGTAGAAGATGCAAAATTGGAGGATTAACTACATAAAAGGACAGAAACAAAGTATTTAGGGATATCATATAAAAAACCAATTAAAAGGTAAGAGTGATAGCAAGTAAATAGATCTGTGCGGGATAATGTAGATGGAACCCTTTTGGGATTCATCTGCATGCAGATGATAGTTAAAGGCACATATTGTGGATGTTAGAATGTTAGAAGGCAGAAGATGGGAGACACTTGTGAAAGCTGGATGTGTTAGTGTATACATGTGAGTAAGAGAAATTGTTTTAATTTAAAAGTGAATTAATTGTGAAAAAGTATTAAGAATTATGATGATACAGTTGTAAAATACAAATAGAAATAGTGCAAGGAATATTTTTAGTGACATTAGTAAATTTTGGTATGAAAGAAATTGGGGCATGGAGGACCAGAGGATGCAAGATGATGTTACATGGGTGACGCTGATTGCAGGGGGAAAATAATATGGAAACGGATCAGTATAGCAGCCAAGCTTGCACACTTGCACTGAGTAAAAGAAGAGCAAAGACTGTAGGAAGAGGAAGTTGTGTATTATAATTTAATACAGATTATAAGTTAAAGGAAAAGAATAGACAGGAGTACAGAAGTATGGTGTCAAACAAATTGGTGGATGCAAGAATGATAATGTGATGCAAGATGTGAATAAGAATTAACTTGGATTTACACAAAAAAGGAGAGGGGGGAAATAAATTAAAAAATCTCACGTCTTTATCATAATCAATTTGTTAATAAAAATTTAAGAGTCAAAGAAACTCTTTTAGTACAAGCTGTAAAATGATCCGAGTGAATAATCATGAAATTCTTAAAAAAGTTGATGATATTATTTTCGTTCAAAAGTAGGATATTTCCAAAACCCATTTATAAAAGTTCCCTCAGGGTAGGTTTTTATCACCTCAATATTATAAATTTTCTTATATCTATTAAATACATTTTACATATAAAGAAGCATTTTAATATAATGAGGAATAGAATTAGACATGGGGCATAACAAATTTACAATATTAATAATTTTAACATTCAAAAAGGGTTGGTCCAGACTGCCGAGGTTACTAAGGCTGAAGAGCCATAGCTGCCTCACGCCTGAAGGGTGACTGGTTTGAGTCCTGCCTGGGACATGAATGTTTGTGTGTGTCTGTATGTTTGTGACTGTTTATTCATCCTTCATCATCATCCCCCAGGGCTAACAACACTGGGGGTGTAAAAACTGGATTCAGTATAGAGATGCTGATCCCCTCAAAAAGTCTTATGCATCTACCCCTGAGAAAATATGACTGGGCCCCGGTGAGTAGAACTGCACATTCATGTGGTCCTAAGAAACAAATTAGAAAAGGGTAAGGCATCGCCAAGTCGCAATAAAAATGTGGAGGTGTGATAGAGTGGGGTCTCATGGGGCTTAAGACTTTCCTGAAGCTAATGATGTATTTTCATAAATATAATTTTTACTTATTATATATTATTATGAAAGTAATGTATTACCTTAAATTATATCTAACAAATAAAAATAAATTTTAAAATCACCTCCAATGAAAAATTATTTACAAGAAAACAGCAAACTGCACCTAACTCCCCTGCCCCCCACTAGAAAATTCCTGGTTGGTTTCTCTGGATAATTGGTGTATATAGGTCATTCCATAAAAATACAAGTAGCTCACAAACAGATGCAACCATTTCCATTGTTCTATTTATTTGCTTACAAAAAAAATAATTATTTTCTTTGTCATTATTTGAATTTAATTTTCTTCCCTCATTCCATTCTTTGGGTATACTTTCTTTTAAAATTAACCAATTTAAATAGCCTATTCTTTAACATTTGATCAAAAATATTAAGTGAGCCCAAACATATAACTTTACTTTTGTGCAGATTTAAAACATACTGTGAGGATTCCTTGACATTTTCTATTACACTGCAATCTTCCTTTCACATAACAAGATTGACATTTGGAGGCTGCAACATTAAAAAAATATTTTCTTCTAGATTTGTTCATATTTCTTGTGCAATGTGAAAATATGTTGTAAATTAAAAATAACATCATATATATCACTGTTCATAACACATACACATGATCTTGGAGGTCAGGATTGTTCAAATTCTAAGAAACTACAAAAACTACTGATATGAGAGATAATACACCACTACTCTATCTTATGCAGTAAAATAATGATTTTGTATTGGCCTATTGCTCTTCTCTGATATTATTTTCTAGTAATCAAGTATTCACATTAAAACTTTAACTAAAGCTATATTAATCCAACATTACATTCTTGAAACAGGTACATGGAATAAGCCTTTACAATCTAGTTTATGATAAAAATGAACAATATTTTTGTAGCTATTCCATATTTATGTTTTCTCTACTTGTACCCAAGAGATTCATAGTGAATTCGATTTAATGGTAGCAAGTTCCCTCACTCTGAATATCAGAAGAGAAAAAGATACGTATTCATTGGCATAATAAGTTTAATAACTTTGTTAATCTTATAAAAGCTGCAAGCCGGACAAAAGCATTTATTATTTTAAAATTTCAAATGCAATTGTTGAAATAATAAAAATGATCATTTAATATTCATTGACCAAGAATGGTGAAAGAAATAAAAGTCAAGAGATAGGAATACTATACTTCATCATATGAAACTCTCTTGTAACAAATTCGTAGGCAGAAATGATCATTGACATCTTTATTCAACCAAATCCAAAATTTTTTATATTATTTGTAAGATGTTTATTGCCACTTTTTAACATTTTTAAATAAAAACATAACAAACATGTATTCTGGATAACTCAATTTTAGTGTTGTTTGGGGGGGCAGGATATTCTTCTTATTAGCCAAAAAGTATATTAAGATTCAAGAGAGTCATTCTCTTTTTTCAATAGACCTATACCTAATTAATTCCGTTTTCTCTTTTAATTTATGTTTTCCCAAAATTTAAAATCAGTGTCACCTCAAATTCTATTCTAATAAAAATAGAAGAGATAAAGAATTAAGAAAGTGATAAGCACATTCATGACTTCTTAAACAAACAAACTTTTCTACATCACAATCAATACAATCTGGCTTCCCTCCAAAATGTAAATAGAAAGGAAAATAAAATAAAACAAAGCAAAAATATAACCAAACAAATATTTATTTACACTGCAAATTGCTTACTAAATTAATATAAACTTATAAGTACTTTTTAAACAGAAAATAAATGAAAAAATGAAGCAATACATCATAACGAACAGAAACACATCACTTAAATGAGTTGCCACAATGATAGTAAAATGCATTAAAAACTATGAAATATCATCATTGTTTCTCATAATACGGAAATTATTTCACAGAGTTTAATTCTTTTTAAAATGAGCACAGCCCATCATTCATATTCAATATGATTCTTCCAAACACTTTCACAATTTATGAGTTTTGCATCATTCCTGGAAAGAAGTCATTAGAAGTATAAAAATTTTATTCAAATTACGTTTTCATGTTAAAACCGTAACACACTCACATAAAATTATTTGAATGAACAGCTGATTTGAGAAACTGACAAGATTAAAATTGGAAATATTAATATTGTAGTAATAATCTGATGCAAAAATACAAAAAGTAATCCAAATCTGATGCAGAACATTACTGAAATAAATCTGTTTGAGTTCAAATGAAATATTTCAATTGACACTTGGGTAAAAAGTTTGACTTTTACATGAAATATAAAAAACATACAACACTTAGGTTATGTTCCATGACAAAAATATTAATGTAATTTCAAGTTTCAACAACCCCTTTTTACATTCATGGTAGGTGTCGATGGATCAAAGAAATGCTAGAGAGTTGTCATGGTATTTCCAAAGAGAAAGATTTTAATGTAATAGTGATAATTTGAAAGTACACTATACAATTTCACCTACCTTTCTTAAATGCAAACTTTCTAATCATATCGAACACTGCCTTCCACACTAAGTAAAGTCTTTACACTATTTATACATTTGCATATCTCTCTTCCTTTTGCTTTTGCACAGAAGATTAAATGTGAATTTGGTCTATTATGTTTTTTCACTATCTCAAATCCCTTACAAAGTTACTACATTTGCAGAATGGGTTCATGACCCTCACCCAGAAGGTGATTTTTGTATAGGCTCTGTTAAATAATGCCTAAAGGAATGAACCCATTAACAAGCTCCAATAGAAACCACTGAACACAGAATGTCTGCACCATCTCTGCTCTCCCACCCCACCCAACTGCAACATACAGAAGCCATGTCTGTTGCTATGGGCAACCAAGTTTGTTTGTTCTGGTATTTCCTTCTCTCTCCCACAAGGCAAAAGGAACAAGATAAGCAAAACAATATTTCAACAGAGAATCACATAATTCTATTCTCAATTCACACATATGGAAAAACAAAATAACTTGGAACAGAAAGCAGACATTATTTTAAAGACAAAGCTTCCAGATCCAGTTTCACAGTTTCACAAACTGCATGCACAGGGAATAACACAAACATTTTACTCTTTAGGCAGTGAATCTTAAAGAAACAACTTCTCTGATCATTCAATACTAACATAATACATACAAACGTGCAATCTACTTGAAACTAAAGGCAATGAATACATTAACTACATAAAATGCCAAACATAGTGCACACTTAAGGAAATCAACACTCAATCCGATCAAAGTATTTTTTACTTAAAACATTACATTGACAGTGGGGGAGAAAAACAAACACTGCAACATTTATTCAATTATTATGAAACATAACCCAAATAAAATTGTTTTCCATATTATACAAATATAGAGAATAAAAATAAAAAAGTGCATATTCTGACTTTTCTGCAAGCAGGGAAACTAATATTCTAGTAAAGATATTTTAGAAGATATCTTTTGCAGCAACTGTTTTCATTCAGAATGAACATGTATTAAATTAATAATAATATTCATTATTATTATTACATAAAGTAGGTATTCTTATTATTAAAATAAAGAGTTTAGACAAGGTCAGAGAATATTAAGGCAATTGTAAAAAGAATTATCAACTATTATTTCAAGTTATTTCATGTGTCATACATCATTATGAACTTGACAATATGCAATATTATTTACACATCTATATTGATAACTAGTAATAAATGAATATGTAATAATCTCCAAGCACCTTAAAATTGATATTGCAATGCAAATATCCTTATCTGAATCTGAGGGGCTTGGAAACAAAAATGTAAGGAGGGTTTATAAATACTTTGCATATATGTATAATTTTTATTGTCTGCCTTACACATAAAATATTTATAACTTAAAACTTTACTCAAGTAACATCTCCATTTATTTTTATAAAATGAACTATGCATAAAAGTATTTATTTAAATGCACCCAATTAATACTCTGATGTAGCTACCATGCCATAAAGCACATTTCTCACTTGAATGGGAGTACTGGGTGAAAACTCGCGTTGTGGTTGGATAGATGTGCTTAATGCAAATTGGATATGGATGAGTACTGCTTTGTCCTGCCATGTTACATAACTAGTTGTGGTTCACCTACAAAGGAAGTTAATTTATTATGTATTTTGAAATAAATAGTAAGAACTGGAAACCACTAAAAGAAAAGTTTGTTCTTAAATTTGCAACAGAGTTTTTAACTTTCCCATACATCTAGGTGTCAACCAATGTAGATTTAAGAGATATACATGCAATTATGTTATTTTAAAATTTCATTGAGCTAGTTTTAAATAATTATGAGTCATTCTGCATTCCAAACTAAATTCCTAAGCAATTGAAGTCACAATATTTCAGTGGGTATGGTTTGTAAATTTTAAAAAGCATACAGACAAGAAAATCAATAATCATTGAAGCATATACTCACCATTCAGTTGCGAGAAACCCTGTGATTTATTCAGCTCCAAATACAAGTCTCCCATTTTGGTGGTGGGATCAGACCCTGTCAATGACAGTGGTGTTTCTGGACTATCCAATGGCCTTGAACCAACAAATGAACTCTCAACCCAGCAGAGTCGACCAGACCCTCGGGGGCTAGTAGAACGAGGACTGATGCTGGAATCATGTCGCTGAGGAGCAGTGAGTGCTTCAGAAGAGCCATCATCTCTCACTCCTGACACATAGTGCACAATGGCCGATGTGACCTCTTTAATGGATGTGCGCACTTCAGATAAGTTTGGCACCTGTGGTGTCTGATGGCATTATGAAACAAAAATAAAAATAAATACATAAATAAATTTATAAATAAAAATTGATGGTGTTTGAATTTATTAACAACTAGAATTATACAAATATAATTATAAAAATATTACAATCCTTACAAAAATCCTAATGTGAATAATATAGTTGCTTCTGCATATACAAATATTTAAATTGCAGTTTAATCAATTTTGAGAATTTTATATAAATTTCTTAAAATCTTTATATAATTAACGGTATGACAGCTATGAAATTACACCTACTACTGATTTAAATATCTATATAAATTTAATTGTGTAAAATCAAAAAAGAATTCAAAAAATAGTTTTCCCTACTATCCTTTAGAAATACAAAGTTAAATTGCCATGCCATGATAATTTGCATAAGTTGCATTGCCATGATAATTTCTCTGTTAACAGACTCCCTTTAATAGTTTATCTGTAACATCATCCCTTCTACTTTTCGTACTTAAAACTATTTAAACCAAAGTAAGACCAAGCAGTCTGGACACACTATTCTTCTGCTAGTGCGAGTGTGCCTTAGGCATATGACAGTTCTGTGACAAATTATGAGACATCCTGGAGAATGGCATCTCATTAGAGCAACGGAGGCAGGGTGGTGACTATTATAAGCATAAACCACAACAGATAGACTTCCTTTATTCCTTTTTCTCTCCCCCCTTCAAATGTTGACCTCAGCCTTCTTCTCTTCCTTAATAAGGTAATGCAGTAAACATAGCTCTGGGTATGAGCTGTTTCACTTCCCATGCTCCCTCACTCCAAAGATTAGTGCTAACATCTTAAGCCACCCATTACTCTAAAACAACATGCCTTCCTGGGAATACGGTCAAGCTTCTGAGAGAGGCTCATAACATTTGGATGTGAACTTGACTGCTCTTTGCAGATCAATTAAGTTGAATCTGGAGACATGATTTTTCTTGGCATTTTTTAAGAATGTATTTTTTGGATCTAAAAATCTCCTATTTTAGGCTCCTAAATTAAGCTCTTGAAAAGCGAAAATAAGCTAAAAACTAAATACTTTCTAAATAGGCAGTATAAATAACAAATACTTTGTCACTCCATTTTACTTTAAACAGTTTTATTAAAAACATGATAGTAAATATTAAAAAGACTACTACAAGAAATATAAACGCTAAAGCATCGTTATTTCTGTTTGAAATTAATGAACTACAGGTACCCTGCCAATGCCAGGAGAAAAATCCTCGGAGAACACGAATCGATCAAAAGAATATGAAAAATAATTAATCGAATTTTAATTATAGTGTACTAATGAAAATCCCAAAATTAATTTGATTTTTACTCGATTCGACAATTCGTATTTTCAATGTATTGAAGTATTTTCTTTCCAGGAAATTACACAAACCTTTGAAATTAGCCCAATAAGTTTTCCTTTCTTAAAAAAATGCGATTTAAATGTAATAAGAAAAGAAAATTGAAAAAAAATGAGTATCATAATTTTGTACGAACTTTTATTTATTACGACAATTTGATAATGCCACCGTGCCACACAACACAGAGATGGATATTTGAGAAGTTCATTGTTGAACGGCGTTATGGATGGGAGAGATGAGATAAGATAAGGCGGCTTTAATATCTTAACGCTGTTATTAGAGTCGGGAAGAACATACAGGTTGCTAGTATGTTAGTAAAGTAAAGTCGTGATACATACACGTTGTCCCGCCAACTACAGCCACAATCACCACACGGCATATAATACTTGCCCCATGATTCCACATTGTAGAGCGAAAACTGCACTTCGATATCGTGAACCGTTTCAAACGTCATGGGAGTGGTCCGCAGTTGATGGCACATCCTTTATACACAGATATGCATATTAGGTACTTAATGATATTGTAGTTTCAAATGCATTTATAACGCGATATATTGGTTTGCCCTTCTTTCCGGATGTTGAATTTATAAGTGGAATTATCATAGCTTGTCTATATGATGTGCTGGAAATAAAGCGTGTAGTTACAAATAATGAGAGAAAATATGGGCTATTCTAGCACCACTGGTTCCCATTTGTTTCATTTGTAAAAGTTAGAAATGATTACCGTCATTTCTTGTTCCTGTCTATCGAAGTAAACACAGCCGCTTCGTTTAAATTGGACTTTTCAACATAAACTAAGTGTTTAGTTTAGTAAATGATTATGTATTTCAATATTACGTCACTATCTCTAATAACACGAGAACGTACGTGCTGTTGTAGCACCTCTAGTTTTGAGGGCCGATGCACTGATTGTAGGTTACCTGGTCGTAGTCGTCGTGGTCGTGGTCGGGGGGTGCGGTGGGCGAGCGCGCGGCGAGGGCCAGGCCGAGGGCGTGGTCGGCGGGGGCGAGCGGGGAGGTGGGCTGCTGCGAGGGCGACGAGGCGGGCGCGGAGGACTGCTGTTGCTGTTGCTGCTGCTGCTGGTGCTGGTGCACGGCCGCCGCCACCGCCGCCGCCTGCTTGTCCGCTAAGAGGCCGGCCGCTAGGCGCTCGGCCGGGGTGCGCGGCCGCGCCAGCCGCTCCTGCGACCGCCACCCCAGGTAGGGCTGGCGGTAGTTGAAGGAGGAGCGCGCAGAGCCGCCGGGCGACGTGGATGCCGACGTGGTGGCCGAGCCCCCGCACAGGCGCGACGTGGACCAGCGGGAGAACGCACCTCCGCCGCTCCCACCACCTCCGTGCGGGATGGGGCTAGGGCTCAGCAGCGGCTGGCCTGCAAACGCACGCGCATTGTTAACCGCTTTCTCTCCACGCTTGCAACGCTGATCGGCACATGCGTTGCCCGTTGCGCAGGGCATTTGCCCGTGGCAACAGTGCGAATGTTCAAGTTACTCATTCGCTGTGGTTTTTGACCCCTTCACACGGAGCCATGTCGGCAGTGTTTCCGAGTGGCACTTTTTCTGGCAAAGCATTGCTTTAAATGGGGATTCACACGAGCGGTGTATTGAGCTGCTGCGGCACTTAAGAGGTGCAGTCTCCTTCACCAGTGCAGCGCTTCCTCCCCAGCACAACACGTTTAAATGGCAGCCTTCACACTAGGCCACTCGGAAGCGCCACTGAGCTCAGCTGTTAACAAGCTGATGCTTTGCGGCGGCACCTTCGTGAAAACGATAGTTCGAACGTTCTCACGAAGGCGCCGCTAGCGGCCGTGAATTCCTTTCTCACAGAGGCGCTGGTCGGTGGCTGTGTGTGAAGGGGCCCAGCACATCTCGGTGGTGCTGCGAAGTGGCTCCGTGTGAGGATGGCCATGTTACGCAATGGCGTCACCAAGACCTTATTCCATTCGTTGTATACTCACGCACTTTTTTTTCATACTCGAATTAGCAAGGTCCATGCGAGTTTTACAAGCTAAACTGTTCGAATCTCAATGCACCTTGGTGTGATCTCGAGTATCAAGAAAAAGTGCACGACTTACACATTCCCCTTAGCGCGATTCAGAGCTTTCATATTGCTTACTTGTTTGTGTGTGTGTGTGTGTGTGTGTGTGTGTGTGTGTTTTGTTTCTTTTCTCCGCTTTTCCGTTTTTATTGTATCACAACAGTCTAAACTAATTTAAGAGTTTTTACTTTAAAACTATTGTAGTTGAAAAATGAAAAGTATTAAGAAATGAAAAGCTTACAGACAAAAAAATGTTTAGCTGTATTCGTGATAAACCAAAGAGAAAATTTGCTTTCGTTTCATGAACTTTAGAACATTTTGTAATTAATGGCGATCTTTGTGTAATTACAAATCCACATAAAATTAACAAATGTTGAATATAATGACATGCAGCACAATAATGAACGTATATTAACAAAACGGTAATAATTTTGACAGATTTTGTCTAAGAAAAATTATCTGAAAATGCCACTTATAGGATTGAAAGAACTTTTAAAGCACATTACGTATGTCGCCTTTTGTTTATGGGTTTTCAAATGAAGACTGGTAAATGTTAAAAACAAACACATAAAACACGAAGAACATTACGCATTTCAATGTTTTTATACTCTTTCACATTCAACATCTACCTTATTTATGGTTCGGTATATTGAATCTTTTATTCACCATTTCACTATGGTAAAAGGGCGGGGAAGAGATACTGCAGTTCAAGGAAATGTGCGCACATTGTATTTCTCCCCATACGACTCAATACTTTTGACAAAAATGAATCAAATCAAATGTTCCTTTTTCAGACAGGATTGTCAAATAAACACTAAAATGTTTATGAACCTTTATCTTTGAAGCTCTATTTTGGAGTGCATGATCTATAATCTAAAATTGTAGGAGCCTTAAAACCCTAATAATATTTTTCACAAAAGAAATATCTACTGAATTGAAAAACACTGCTACAATGGTATTTAAATGAATTGAATGTGAAGTGAATTTGGAAAAAGAAAGATGGAGACTTTTCTGCTCTGCGACGTAGCACCATTTACCTCGGTGTCGTTGATATATAAGAGCGAGAATATGTGATGCGACTACGATGTCGATGTTTTCAAAACATAAATACGCGGGTATTAATGCCTATGTTTTTTAACACATGTTTTGTGGTGAAAAACTTCCATCATCAAAATTTTGTAAAAGTTAAAATATGAAATAATAACGGATGGTCCCAATGTTAGTTTATGGGTTTGATCCAAACGAACTCTGTTTGTACTACCTTCTTCGAACAAAACTCTCGCCCGAGATGACCCCAACGCCTTGATATTTTCTACGTCCTTCCTCGTATTTCACACGTGGAGAGGCATTTTTAAACTTTGTTTTCACGTAAATCTTAATTAAAAATTAATAAGCTGGGCCACTGACAAATTAAATTTTGTTGCGCCCGAATTTAATGTTAGAAGTTTTAAAACACCGATGGTTTTTGGTCGATATTTTATTAAAACAAGCCTCTAGAATGGTTCATGAGCAGAGCGAGATGTGGTCACGGGTTCGTTTTCCGGTCGAGGCGAAAACAGAGTTGTAGTTTTCCTTTAAAATAGCCTCAGTTTCCGTAGCTGACGGAAAGCTCAGGTAGGCAGAGTTTACTAGTTTAGGTGAAGGGAATACGTCGTGTTTGACACATGTCTCTCTTCTCCCATACGTGGGAATTAAATTAGGCCTAGGCATGGGGGCGTTAGTTGGTCGGCTAAGTCGGACGGACTAAATGCCAAATTCATAATTATTAAAATATGTGTTTGTAAACATCAATCCGACTTCAGCCAATGAGCTTCAGGTATTATCTTGCGTCACCATTAGCGGATTTTTTAAATGCAGCAAATGCATCAAAATTATCACCTTATTACAAGCCATTGAAACAGGAATATGAAGCATTTATTTTAAATTCTGCACCTTCCACACCTTCATCGTGTTATTTTTGGTTGGTCACCGTTTGCAAATTGTCACTTCATGCCACTTTCAAAATGTTTCTCAACACTTCTCGCTCTCCATTCGACATGGCGTCCAGCGTCTGGCCTGGCTTCATAAACAAAGTCGCCGTTTTGCGGTCGCGTGGTCCGAAACGCAAACTAGTGCTGCGCAGAACGAGCGAAAATCGGAGCCCCGGACTAGCCCACCCCGGTTTTCCCCCCACGCTGGGTGTGTCCTGTGTTACCTGTGGGTGAGTGGCCATGGGGCGTGGAGGTGGCGCCCAGGTGCGCCGCGTAGGCGGACGCGTAGGCGGAGGCGGAGGAGGGCGAAGGGGAGACGGCGGCGCTCGTGGCGCCGCTCACGCTCTGCCCGCCCAGCGACGACAGCGACGTCGTCTTGCTCGCCAGCCCTGCAACCGACACCAACACATTATTCCGTCGACTCCGGTTATAGTGAACTTCTGGGTACTAACAGTTTTGGTTCACTACTTCCGATGATGTCAAAATTAAATAGAACTTCACAATGAATAATTTTATTAATAGAGAGATGCAGCAAAATACATTAACAGCACCTACTGAAAATTACAATATCTTTATTTGACCTTATAAAATGAATGATTTTCAATTGTTTACTTCGTACATTTAAGGCGATAAAGGCGAAAAGCTTAGGTGACCACCCCGGGGAGAAATCCTCCTGGCAGAACAAGAGATGGTGTGAGGTGGTAGCCCACGCGAGGAATACGAGAGTTCTGACCGCGGGAGGTGCCTCAGGGCATCAACTGATGTTGAACTCGAGTCCCAACGGTTTTCGACACTAGCTTGTCAACGCAAAGTCAAATTCAGTCGCTGTCTGGAGGAGACCTCTAGCGGCCGCCTGCTCTGATCGATGGTTTCTGTAATCAACACCAGGCGAATGCTGGAGTATTACCCCAACAAACGGGCCACGGCTGCGCGCGATCTTTCCTTTCTATGCCCTATCCTCACCTCATACATACACTTATACTATCACATTTTCCGCGAGACCAGTCGTGCAGTGCCCCGCTGGTGGGAGATACCTGGTTGAGGAAAACCCCGCTAGCCAACGGTAGATCGGCACTGGACATCAGCGTCCAGCGGGCGAAGACCACCGCCGCATCCCGGGGGGTATCCACTACACTTACGGGTCTAACGACCTTAGGGCCGTCCGAAAATGACGTAACGCAAATTTGGAGAATTTTCAATACCCCCTCTCTACTCTTTTAACGCACCCTTGAACCTCCCAAAATAATTACGTAACGCATGTCACACACACACCCCGTAAATGCAAGAAGTGAAAGTATATTACATTACTGTAAAAACAATTTGAATTTATTTTATTCGTGTTGTATACTAAAATAATGATAATAAAAGTAGAAATTAGTTAGGGATCGTGGCTGCACCTCACAATAAGATTGGGGCAAGTTGTGAGTGAAGGAGGAACGCTTGAGCGAGAAGTGGTTCATCACGAGCTGTGCACATGCCGTCATGGTTGGCGCAGGAGCGTGTCTACAGCCCCAATTGAAATGAATTCTCGAATAAATTTCTTATAAATTTGTAATATTTTCTTTGTAATCTAACAGATTAAAAAAGTAGAAAAAATATTTGCATTTATTGTAACAACTAATATCTTTAGTTCATTTATGTTTTAAAAACAAATTAATTAGTTAATATTTTGTTTTAGGAAAAAAGGAATTATTTAATCAAAAGGTTGAAAATTGTAAAAAAAATAAATATCAATGCTACGTAACATTTAACTAATACCCCACTTCCTCTATATAACGCAGCGTAACGCTGCCTCAGACCCCCTCCCCCCTCTTTAGCGTTACGTAATTTACGGACGACCCCTCAGCAGTTGACGCGCCCGGAATCACTAACGATGATTCATATACATTCACAATATCCGAAAGAAACGTTAAAACCCCCACGAAAAATAAATATCCGCTATAAGAATACATGTTAAAAATAAAAATGTAAACATGTTTGACTTCAATATTAAGATATTTTTTGAATGTATGTGTAGAGAGTATCTAGATTTATGAATTAATATTGTACAGTAAACATTTGAGTATTGTGAGTAAATTGTTGAGATATGTTGAAAATATAAGTATGGATGTAAATTAACTAGTAGTAAGATACAAGAGTGAGAGGTTGTGTGCCGAAATGCTATGTATTAAAAATAAAAATGTACAAATCTCCGAAATGCAGAACTGTCGAGCAAGAAGAAAATGAATAAATAAATAAAAAGGAGAATGATCGATGAGGAGCGTACAGACCTGGCCAGTGGTGCGCGTCGGCCGAGGAGCGGCGCAGCAGGAAGCCCGGCGCCGCCAGCGCCGAGTGCTTGTACCAGTCGGGGACGTGCAGGCGCTGCAGCGACCTCTGCACGCGCAGCTGGTGCTCCGACAGCGCGCCCGCGCCCGCGCCGGCGCAGCCCTTCTGCAGCTCGTTCTCCGGCGGCTGCGCACACACATACAAACGCGATTGTCACGAGGTGGCCGGCAGCTGCTCGAAATCACGCTCGACGAAAGCACGCGAAACGGGCTTCCAGACAACAGCGCACGCACTGCTCGAGAACATGATATTTCCACTCCTCGAACACTACAATAAATTAATATTTTAAACAAAAGAAATCAGTGGTCTAAATACTGCAATACCATGGTATAGTGCCAAAACTGTAGCACAGTTTTCAACATAGCGAGAATATAAAAAAAAGATGTTCCATACCACATGTAAACAGCTAATATTGAATGGCGCGCGGCTTGTTCCGTAGAGTCTTACTGTCTCATGACATCTGCTAGGTATCGGTACAAGCAGTTTGAGAATGAAAACAGTATAAAGAAAACAAAATCTTTACATTTTTAGTCAAAACCAAAATAGATTCGCTGATGTTTCTTTCACGAGTTTCTGGGTATCTAACAAAACCACAAACACCTTCCACATGACTGGAGGTTGGATGTTCTTTTTCAATTTCTGCGCACATCGGGAAGTAGAAACGTACATTTACACAAGTGGATTCTGGAAATGACCGATCGTCTCTGAAGCGGGAGTTGGAATGAATTACAACCGTATAATAAGGCAGAAAACAATGATTTGCGGTCCTGAAACACAATGCAGACAGACGCTGGGTCGCAGAAAAAGAAGAGCGAAGCGTCTTCCGTTACTCTCATCGGAAGCCACTCAGAGGCGACGCACGAGATGACACTCGTCCCACATCCAGCAGTTGTTATCGTCAACTCCGAAAAATCATATTGTGTAACCAATATCAACGCTGCAGTTTTTGGCAACGAAACACGTTCTCGCCTTCCAAGACATGCAATACAATGCGATACAATAACGACAACCCTATTCGCGTGTTCCTTCTTCCTCGACTGCCTCTGACATGGTTTCCCTTCAGGACTGGAGGAAATATGTGCATTTCTTCTTTCTAGCGAGGAACAAAAAGCGCATTGGTCTTGCGCTACCATGAATTGACAGAACGAAATGACTAGCGGAACTTCAAGCTCCACACCATATCATTTTCATGCACTTCTAATCATTTGTCGCCAGTATCGGTACTCTTAACAAGAAAATTGCCTGAAGTGCCATGCCTTGATTTTTTCCTAATGATAGTTGAGCTCACATGAAGTTCATACACTATTAGCTGCCGAAACAAATTACAAATTACTAAAACGCACATGAGAATTACAATTTTCCACTCATTTTTGGCTCTTGAAAGATCAATTTGTACAGCCCTGGTCTGCCATCAGGTAAGATGATTACAGTTCAGACACACAGGCATGCGATAACCTTCTGAGGTCGATTCATGTATCACACTATACGATGCCCCTTGAAGAAATTCGGATATTAGTCATTTCATAGAGTGGCTAGTTTAGTTCGGCAGCTACAACTTAACATATGAACCACATGCGACCTCAACCAACTCTGGAGAAGAAAGAAGAAAAAAATGGGGGTAAATAAAAGAAAGCAACGACGGCAGGTTTCCGAATGATATTTCTTTGTAAAGTAGCGTAGGCTCACACGGCCCGTATGAATTCCGTTCACGTTTTCCGGGCTGCTGGGTCGTGGCCCAACGCAACGCTCACCGGCGGCTGGTTCTTTGGCATAGCGGCTCGATACCGCGGACGTGCTTCCTCTCCGAATGTCCGTTAGTTAGCCCGGACAACGCGACCGATTCATCGGTGCGTTTGCGCGTCCCGCTGCACCTACCGCGAGGTCCCGCCAGCGCAGGCGGCGGCGCGTGGTGCGCAGGAGCCCGGCCTGGGCCGAGAGGTCGGGCGAGGAGCGCCAGCGCGCCGCAGCCATCGCTCTCCACCCTCGGCGACCGCGTGCGCGCGACTGGCCACTGGCCCAGCGGCCCCGACAGCAACAGACGTTGTGCAAGAGGTGCGACTCTGGGACACGAATGCGGAGGAGGAGGAGGAGGAGGAGGGGCGGAGCTATCGCACCGGTCGGTTGCAGCCCGCACTCCTCCCCTCCAAAAATCCACAGCATCGCAGCCGATCGCATCCCGGATGTTATCGCGACGGGATTGCCGGCTTCCCTCGTGAGAGAGCTACTCGACGTTCTGTGCATGAACATCACCTCTTCACTTTTGCATTCCGAGAACTCTCCTAACGTCGAAAGAAAAAAAGAAAAGATTGTTAATTTCAAATTGAACTGTACTGTTTTTTGTGTTAAATGTTATTCACTGAAACTGATGGCAACGCATTTAATCCTGCCATGTTTACAGTGTTCGTAGGAAGTTCTCTCTTCACTAATGCAAGAATTTATTTTTCGTTGTGTGCTCTCGAATACAGGCGTCTCACCTTTGCTTCGTCCCTCCCGTAACAGAGGTCGAGGTGCAATGGAATTGCGCCTCCTTCGAAGGTTAATAATAATAATAATAATAATAATAATAATAATAATATATTTAAAAAACACGAAAGGACGAACTGGAAAGTTGGAGAGGGATGCAATCGGGCGATTGCCGTGTCGAGGAGGGGGGGGGGGGTCACGTTGAAAGCTGCGTTCGGCATGCTGCTTAAGTCTCCGGGAAGAGGGAGACCTCTCAACACATGCAGCAGTAGCCTAGAGTAGAGGGAAGGAGAGGCACTGGCGGAGAGGTTGATTTGAAATTGCGCAACATGTGAAAGGAGTCGCGGGAGAGAATCTGACATCATTCGGGAAAAAAGTAATCCTAAATATACAAGGTGATTCGTGACACCTGCACAAATACTTCATCATTATACTGAACGCAAAGATCTCTTAGGCATTTTGGCGACAAATGCTCCGATAATCAAAGATTTATAAAGAGGAGCAACGACATTTCCTTCGGTGAGACGTTTGCATTGAATTGTAAGCTCCACGAAGACAAATTTTAACAAAATAAAACGAACGACGAACAAAAAGCTTAATTTTCTTAATCCGCACAATAACAAAAGTTTTACATTCCAAAAAAAAAAAAAAAAAAAAAAAAAAAAAAAAAAAAAAAAAAAAAAAAAAAAAAAAAAAAAGCACCATTGCAGTACTCAAGGCATAACTGCGATACTTCGAAAATAGTGAAGGGTCATTTTGATTTTCATTCATCTTTGAGCTTGAATTGACTGTAAAATCATAAAATTCTTAAAAACGTTGAAGACATTGGGGGTAATGCAAAGACTAAAACGATACCTACTGCAATTTTCGTTACGGCAAGCGATCGCTGCACTTAACACAATAGGACAAGTGGGGGGTGGGAGCGAGAAGTCTCCTCCGACGTGAGCCACGTGCGCTGGTGACGGCCGAGGCCGTGGCGCGGGGGCGGGGTGGGGGTGGCTGGCACTCGCGTCGAGTGTCTGTTACGCAAGCCGGTCGGGGGAAGGGGGGGCGGCGCGGGGCCTAATCAATATTTAGCGCTGGCGACTTGGCGTGAGCGGGTCGGGCAGGCGGAAGATCCCCCACCCCCACCCGACCCGGCACGAGCCTCTGCGCGCGAAGCGGATCTCCTCTACCACTCCCACAGGCCTCCGTTCGCACCACGGCGCATTTGCGTTTCGTTCGCTGTGGCCCTGCGCGCCCTCCACCTTCGTCCTAACTGGCTTAGGGCATCAACTGATGTCACCGTACAGTCTCTGAACGGTAGACCCTAGGGGTGTAGTCCTAACGGTGGCGGGATTTTTGACACTAGCTTCAAAGGCCGGGTCGAGTTCAGCCGCTGCCTGGAGGAGAATTCAAGCGGCCGGCTGCTCTGACGGGTAATTTTCCGTGCTTTCTCCGATCAACATCAGGCGCATCCCGGAGTAGCACCCTAACGAAAGGGCCGTGGACCGTGCACGATCTCTCCTTCCTCTTCCTTGTTGTATTCTCACCCCCTTACTTACACAGACACTCACATTCACTACACCACCACACGTTTCAGGAGACCATTCGGGAGCTTAGAGCTTGTCCCAGCGGGGGCGAGGCCACACTGGTGGGAGATACAAGTGGTGAGGAGTACAAGAGCGCGGCGGTGGAGTGTGTAAACGAGCTGAAAGCTGCACTAGAGTTCTGGACAAGGAATTTCCCCCCCCCCCTTTTTTTCTCTCTCCAGGAGGCGCTGCGTCCTCGAAATGGTTGCCACCGTTCCGACCTTCGCCAGAGCGAAATGCACAGAAGTGGACCACGTAGAGGTGTATTTAGCAGGTGATTCTCCTTTAAAAAAGGTATGCTCCGGGAGTTAGATGGTAGGGGAGCCTGTGCATTGAAACACGTACTATTAGGCTACTAATACACAACCCGTCTTCGTGCATGCAGTATGAGGAGGAAAGCGACCCAACACCGGCGTCAGGCCGAAGTTGGGGGCCGGGCTGCAGCCCAGGGGCGCTGCAAGGGCCTTCACCGTCCCCAACCGTCCTCACGCAAACCGCCAACAGCGACGCGCATAGCCGTCCACCAGCTGCAAGGGTTGAGGTGGTGACCTCGAGCAAATTAATTGCATTAGGAGGGCTGCGATCGTCGCCTCATAAGAAGCTCAAAATGCTTCTACGTATTCTGCATTTATGATATACGGTTTCGCGGTGAATGATACATAAAATGGAATGCCCCCAGACTCGGCACTTGAATTGGCCTGTACCAGAAAGAAGGAAAGGGATCGTTTTCCTAACATTCGCATGTCTAGTGGTCTGCCAGAAAGGAAGTGAATGGCTTCCGAGGGCTCTTGTTCTCCAAAGACTCTAGCAACAATCGATTTATAAGGATTCAAAATGGAAAATACACAAATGCGACCTCTGCACCTTCAAGAAGGAAACGCAAAAGCACTCAAATTTCGACCACCAACAAGGTCTCCACGACAGGAATACGACCCGTCGCATTTTTAGGAAGTTCCAGAAACACTTCCAGGCTTCAATCACCACTCGTACGTGACGATGAATAGTGACTCTTTTTTATCTGTCGTCAAAAATCAGAGAAGCTTTGTGACGCATGGGGTGATGTTGGACGAGTGGAGAGTGCAACCCTAGAATACACAGACGGGTGCCAAGGCACCCCAGACGTTCCTTGTATTGATGCTAGTCACGCTGGGGTTGAGCTTTTTTCGTCACACTCCGTTTATTCTCATTTGAGTAGGTTACCTTCGCGCCTGTACATGTCCTTTTACAACTTTATTTTTTTTATTGATTGGGATGCTGTAGCACTCTATTTGTTTATTAGCACGTGCAAAATTTGGAAATCAAACATCGCCTGAAATCACTACAGATATAAGAAAAGGTCTGCCAAAACAAGCAAGGTACGGTGTATGTCCAAGAATAAAGGATACAAAAACAAAATATTTTTGTGACAAATGAAAAATATATATTTGTGCAGAACATAAGGAAGATGTGTACTCGTCATGTATTGAGTAATCTTTTCGATTTCCTGAATTAATTGAGTTGAAAATAAGTAAATAACACTTATGTATTTATACTTTCTTTCTTTCTTATGTCAAGAACTTATCATTCGAATTTTTAATTGAGGTGCTGTGGCACCCCCCCCTGTGTATTTCAGGGCTACCACAAGTTTCCTTGAGATCTGGAATTTCTACCCCATCTATCCATCTACCCCAAGGTATTGTCGTAGCGTGAAGCATATTCTTGGGAGACAAGGACCGCCACTTGCAAAAACAAACACATTTTTACCTGAATGTTCTAAAGTTTCATTTTTTTCGACGTTTAAAGAAGCCATACGTGATGTGTTATCCATAGCAAAGCAAGAAAACATGAGATTTAGTTATTATACGAGTGGTCAATGTAACATTTTTTTAAAATTTTGCGAATAGGAAATACCGCGACGCGAGAATGATAGGCCGAGTGACATAATTCTACAAGGAAAATAAAATCACTTTTACCACGTGTATCATTCACTATCTTTCAGACAGCCTTAATGTTATTCATTTTCTATTAATTAAAGGGTACAAATAAATCACTGTGTTACTTTAAGTCAGCAGTAGCTAATGCGATCAGACGAAAGTATTTTGTTTTCTTTGTTGTATTCAAAGTTTTACAAGAACATTAGAGCGTCATCTCACTTTCATCACTAGTGCTAAAAATTGATCTTTTAGCAATCTTTGTATATTTTAAAAGTAACCGCTTTTGCTAGGGCCTGTGTAAAAAATTCCTTTCTCGCGTTGCTATGGATAACACACGTGAATGGAAAAATAACAATTAAAACCCTTTTTATAAATATTAGGTAAATGAAACTGCTGTCAAAATTTCAGTTATCAATTTTCATCACAAATGCTATTTTAAAAGCGAATCGTTTCAAATAGTGTTAACATTCAACATCATTATGATTCGTAGATTTCAGAAACTTACTTTAGCATTTTTTTCTATTCCAGGATATTCATTATCCATCGTCTAGCTGGAAAGCCCGTCTTTGTAGCAACGACAAAGTTCGTTCAATATTTCGCAGAACCGAGTGAAAGTAAAGAAATGCTTAGAACTCAATAGTGGTCACAGTATTATTATCTCACAGTGTGATTGCTTTACTTCACGGAGATTGTTTCCAAATGTAGAACTGGAAGTTTCGTTCTTAAATCGGTTAGTTATTTCCGTGATACATTATATAATAAAACCGTTAATTCAATCATCAGATACTGAGAACATTCAGATATTCAACATATCATTTCTGAAGTCCGATGTGCTTTCAGAAAAACGGGATGCAAGATATACTCCAATTTACACATAGTGATACTTCAAGGTCGCGAGCTAGAAGGAGAGGGAGACAGTCATGTAATCGGGAGCTCCAATACCAAAAATTCAAGCCGTAACAAAGCTCCTTGATTGGGTGACAGAATCCCCCTCTCCGTTCAGCTCGTGACCTTGAAGTGCCACTACGAGTAAATCAAGGTATAAACCTTTTACAATTAAAATAATTTAATAATTACTCATATTAATATCACAACCCTCTACATTACAATAGTCTTTGGATAATTCATTTTTAAATTACATTTAAAGTAGGTTATATGTTAGAATAGGTTTGTTTACTCTACTTTAATATGAAGAAATGATTGAAAACTAGCTAATACAGAATTTTCT